ACACCAGGAAAGCGGAAGTTTGTCGTCTGCTTCACAGCCCGTTTTATACCCGATATTTAGGGCATTTCGCAGCACATACAAGTTGTTTTTATCGACAGAATTCATTCATAGATCTCAAATTTCATGTACAGAGTGTCAAAAGCCACACCTCTGCTCCCCTTTAAGACTAGATGGAACTTCCGGATCGAGCTAACAAGACTAACATGGCTTATGACCTAATCCCACGTATTCATTACACTTTGTGTTTATTTTTGTGATAAGATTAAATCGTTGTCCTTCCATGTTGGCTCAGTAAACAAGTGACGCCATTTTACCAAGTGGTTTCCGAAACTTCATTGCATTTTCCCCCAAAATATTCTTCGCTGTATGATTATTTCCGCCGATCAGGACATCAAAGATATGAGTGTTATCCAAGCAAATTACCATAAAAAAATTATCGTTTCAAATAGGTTTCCAGTCGAGTAGAAAGACACGAAATTACTTTTATGCAAATCTGCCGTTTTCGAGCCTTTCATTTTGGCACTACGCGCAATACTTTAATAGACGTCTGACAGACACAGGATCAATGGAACAGTTCAATTTTTTCACAGAAGATTTTCATCTACTATACCGATAACTGTACGTATCACATTATTTGATGAACTTATTAAAACGACAGAAATCTTGAGTAGAATAAAAACAAACAGTAATTTATTCATAAATTGAAAAGTTTTCACTTTTGACTCCCATTTCAAGAAAACAAAGGCTCGAAGTGTACTGTCCGGACACGGACCGATTTCCAGTCTGCTGATCAGTTTATAACAATAGACAGGATGTCTGCAACTGCGTTTTCCGTACGTCTGTTTTGAGTGAAAAAACTTTCGAGAGAAACACGCATACATTTCACTAGTTTGAGAAAAAAAAATACTTTCACACAATTCACACACAGAGCTAACTAAAAATATATAACATGTAGGTGTTCAAATGCCATCTTCACTGTGATATATAGGTTTGAATATAAGCGCCCACGAACCTGGGTCTCACACTTATGTTATCAACGTTACCATGTTCACATCTGTTTTTTGTGTCACTTTACGCTAATGTAACTTATTATTGTCAAGGAGAAAAATGGATGTAAACACAATTTGTAAAGGAATTTGAAAATAGTGCAATTTAAACCTCCCTTGAAGGGGGTAATAGTTACGTCATTGTAAAACAGATGAGAGGACATTACACAGACATAAATGAGCTTAAATTATTGCATAGCCAACACCGTCGACCATTTGCAAAGGATGTTGCATAAAGTGTATTCGCGTCCAAAACTGAATTTTAGTGCTCAGTCAATTCTATTTAGATATATCTTATTTTAAAGTAGGCAAGCTGGCTATGTGTGTCAAATTTAAAGCAGTTTAAATTGTTATTTTGTATATGTTGTTAAACTTGAAGTATGCCGACTGATTATAATACAAGCCGGTAGGCTGGTTGGCGATCCGCTCCGCTCAAAAACAAGCAACATGTTTTTTAGCTGTTTCCATGGTGACATAAACGTGAAGCTGACGTCGGTTTATAACTAATACGAAGTTCGCAAACACCATTCAGTCTTTAGAAGTCTCTTAGTTTAGTACTAGGACCACAGTTACTCTCTCCTAGTAGAGTGACTGTGCTAGGACGTATTCTGCTGTTACATTTATTATTTCCAACCGTTTTGCGATAGCATTTTTTAGAATGAAGCGTTTCCCGGAAATGCTGGAAAGCGAAATAATGAAATAACGAAATGGTAAATATTTACCTAAATTGCAGTGTGTTGACCTTCATAACAATATACTTCATAATGCAAAACACTAGTCACAGTGAGTAATTTAAATATACGACTCCTAATCGAAAAATATGACCACAGTCCAGAATTTCAGACGGATATTAAGCAACCTAAGAGCATATCAGAAGCATTTACTCTAAAATATAAAAAAAGAACTGCAGTCAAAAGTCAAGAATGCCAGCAAATAAAGGACTCTGTCCCACAATCCTTTGTGCGCGTTATTACGGACACGCGCAAAAAACTGTACCACGCTTGTCAAATCTGGGTCAAATATACAGTACGCTACTATCTTGCCACAGATTGTTTAGTAGTGGAGTGTTCGGTGACCATTGAATTAGCCCGTGATTCATATTTTATGTGTATTAATTTATTCATCAATTTTCG